CGTTCGGTGAAACCGCGGTGGACTTGGGGCGCGATGCCGCGGGGGTCGCGTCGGCCCCGCGTCGAGCTGAACCGGCGTTTGAGCGGGGGCCGCTCCAGCGGTGCTCGCATCAATGAGCGTCGTAAGTTTGCGTCCTTGGCCAGGGCGTCCGAGGCTTATGACTGCAGGGGGCGCTGCCGCAGTCGGTGCGTGGGCACCGCGCAATGGGTCTTTCCCCGTCCTCCATCCTTCAGTTGAGGAGGCAGGCGGCCCAGGTTGTCGCTGGTCGGGGCCCGGGGCGGTGTCCCACGACCATTCTGGCGATTGGGCGCGGGGAGAGAGGTGCGGCTGCTCTTGCTCCTGGGCCCCAGCTTCAGAGGTTTTTCCAAAAGGATGAGTTCGACCTCGCAGGGCAGGTGGTTACCGTCGCCGCGGGGGGCCAACGGCTTCATCGGCGCCAGCTTACTCAGGGGTACTTGGTTTCCTCGAAGTGCCCGCGGTGCGAGGCCCCCGAGGGGCCCCTGTTGCATCGCGTTTGGGAGTGCCCCTGCAATGGGGGCGCCGCTGCGTGCAAAAAAGCGGAGCATTTGACTCCCCCGGCCCGCGCGGGCCTCGGGGTGGGGGGTGGGGTGGTGGGTGGGTGGGTGGGTGGGGGTGGGGCGGGGTGGGGGAGGGGCGGGGGAAGAACTGGGGGCCGCGCTCGGCTCTTGTCGAGAAGACGGCCTGCTCTTAGTCTTTGGAGATGGCCCAGGTGGGCAGTTCAGCAGTGACCCTCGTCGCCGAAGGGTGGGCGCGGCCGCGATAACTTTGGCGCTGGCCATAAGTGGCTGGCAGCGGGCCCGCGGTTTCGCCGCGACCCTTCGGGGTCGCCGTCAAACGGTGCCCAGGGCCGAGATTCGCGCGTTTGAACTCGCGCTTCGCAGTTTTCCTGGCCCGATGCGTTTCGTCGCGGACAATGCCGCCCTCCGCAGGGGTGGCATGCTAAACGGTGCGAGGATTGCAAAGGCACCAATTCAGATCTGGTTTCGTGTCCGAGCCGCCCTGACCGAGAGAGGAGAGGGGGGTCTAACGTTGGCCCTGAGGGCCCCTCCCTCTCCCCCCCAGGTGCGTTTGCATGCCGCGGGGAACGGCTTCGCCGACGCTTTAGCAGGGGGGGGGGCGCCCAGTTTATCCTGGGCCCATAGCCTTCAGTGCCGCGTGTCAAGGCCCCCCGACGCGGATGTCCGGGATTGCGTTGCGGCGCTGGTTGGGCGCCGAGCGGCCAGAGCCATGGTGGGCTCCATCAGTGTTGGGCTCTGGTCCGCCGCGCGGCCCCCCGAGGCCCGTCGTGTTCCCGAGGGCCTCCCTGAGGCCCTTCGCAGGGGCGAGCTCTGTTTGGTTCGGGCCGAAGGTAAGTGGCTGTGCGCGTTGTGTCACGCGATCGTCCCTGTGTTTCAGGTGGCGGAATTTAGCGCGACGTCGTGCCTTGCGGTGGCCCAGGGCCTTTCGAGTCTTGCTGATCATGGGATGGCGCGGGCCAGTGGAGCGATTGCGGTGGGAGGGAGGTTTGTCACTCCTCTCATACTTTTGCGCTTCTGGCCCAAGTTTGGGCTGCATTGTTGTATGGCGGTAAATCTGCTACGGAAGACACACGCCATTCAGTTGCTAAGTGCAATACCCGCACCAAGAAAGGTCTTGAGAACCTTCAGCGAATTCGGAAACAGGGCTTTTCTCCAGCCACCAAGGGCCGTCCAAGGCGTCTCTGGCTAAAGAGCAGGGCATTGTCAGGCGGGGGGCCGTCTTCCGTGGGCCGCCGCCTGGGGTTTTGACCGGTTGCTGAGTCCGCTGCCACCGTGTGGATATCAGCGAATTTCAGCGAATTCCTCCTCCTCCTCCTCCTCCTCCTCCTCCTCCTCCTCCTCCTCCCTCCTCCCTCCTCCTCCTCCTCCTCCTCCTCCTCCTTCTTTTCTCCTCCTCTCCTCCTTCCCTCATACTCCTCCTTCCACCTCCTCCTCCTCCTCTCCTTCCTCCTCCTCCTCCTCCTCCTCCTCCTACTCCTTCTCATGCTCCTCCTCCTGCTCCTCCTGCTGCTGCTGCTGCTCCTCCTCCTCCTCCTCCTTCTCTTCCTCCTCCTCCTCCTCCTCCTCGTCCTCCTCCCCCATTCGTTTTCCTTATAACAAACCCCTTCCTGTCGCATTCCGAGGTCGGTCGCAAGGGCGGGCTGGGCGTTTCGCCTGAAACTTCCACACTGTATGCTCCTGAACATTGCAATTTGCAGCCGTTTTACGGATGGAGGGCGGCCCGCTTTCAAAATGTGGCTCTCGTTTCAGCGCCGCCCATAACTGTCTTAAGAAAAACAAGCGTTTCACGGATGGAGGGCGGCTGGCTTTCAAATTGTGGTTCTCGCCTTGGCGCCGCGCGCGTTCGTTAAAACAATTGCAAGAGTTTCACGGGTGGAGGGCGGTCCCTTTTCGGACTGGGGCTCTCGCCTCAGCGCCGTGCACATTCGTTAAAACATGCGAGAGTTTCACGGATGGGGGGCGGTTCTTTGGTCAAAATGTGGCTCTCGCCTTAGCGCCAAGCGCGTTCACTCGTTTGAAAAATCTGAAAGCTTTGCGGATGGAGGGCGGTTCTTTTTCAGAATGTGGTTCTCGTTTTGAAGCCGCGCGTTATGTCTTTTTGGGATTGCAGCAGCTTCAAGGATTATCATGGTTAACGTCGCAGAAACGGTATTCTGGCTCGATGTCGGAATGTCAGGGCGCAGCCGTCACGTTGATTCGTGGTGTTGCAGTCCCAGGAATGGTGTTCTGGCATGGTTCAGGATCACCAAGACGCAACCATATTTGTGACTCGAGGCGTTGAAATCCCAGGAATGCTGGCGTAGTTCCGGATTTTCAAGCGTTTGGCTTCCAACGGGGCGCTCCCCTCAGTGACAATGAGTCTTTGTAGGGGCCTTTGGAAAAAAGACCTTGGAGGGAGGGTCTGTTGTAATATGGTTGATGAGTCTTGGGTTTGCATTGGTCCTTCTCCTCCTCCCTCCTCCGCCTTCTCCTCCTCCTCCTCCTCCTCCTCCTCCTCCTCCCTTGTCCTCCTCCCTTGTCCTTCTCCCTCCTCCCTCCCTCCCTCCCTCCCTCCCTCCTCGTCCTCCTCCTCCTCCTCCTCGTCCCTTGTCCTCCTCCTCCTTTGTCCTCCTCCCCTCTCGTCCTCCTCCAACGTCCTCCTTGTCCATAGCGGGGGGAGTCCCTGATGAGAGTCGCAAATTAAGGTGCCGCGTGGGTCTGGTGGCCTGGTTCTGCACGGCCTGTGGTTTCTGTGCTGAAGCAGATTCATAAGCTAGGCAAGGCTTGTCCAGACCGCGTACGTAGAAGGTAATATTACCGATTACTCGGATAGGATTCTTCGAGGGGTCTGGCCCGAAACTTACAGCAAAGCTGAGCCAGCCAAGAAGCAGACATCCCCCGTTTAAGCAAGCTTTGCTTCCAGAACTCCAGAACCCCCCCCTCTTCTCAGAGGTGATAGTGAAACGTTCCAGGATTTAACAGATTTCTAGGAATTCCTCGATTCCCAAACGGTCTACACGTGCTGCAGAAACGAGGGCCTCTATGTACTTTTTGAAAATGCTGGTCCGGAGCCAACCCTATAATGACATCATTCTCGTCCTACAGTCAAAGCGCAAAGAAGGAATGAACAACTTTCTATGGTTACCCTGACATCCTTGCCCTCTCGGCCCATCCCTGCATCCTTCGGCCCACTCTTGCCCCTCTCGGCCCATCCTCGCCCCGTTCGAACAATGTCAACGTGGCCTCCCAAGGCCCTTGCATCCCTACCGCGCTTCCTTCTTGTGCGTTTTGACTGCGTCCTTCATCTCCCCCTCCTCTGGTCCTGGCTGCTCGGGGCGCGCGGTTGGTTTTCCGGGGAGGCCCCGGGGGTATCTAGGACAGGCTTCCCTCCAGACCCGCTCTCCCTCTCGTGCCGAGGTTCGCGTGGACCACGACCCCTCTCGACAGCAACTTCGACGGCTGCTACGAGGCTGGGCTGCCGCGGTGCTCGATGATGAACAAGAGCGGCATTCATTCTCGACGCTCCGCGCAGATTTCTCGGATCGGCGCCAGGGACCCTGGGCGACGCCTCCGGCGCCTTCCCTGGTGCGCCAGGGAGAGGGGTTCGGCGCAGATCCAGGAAATCCGCCCGGATCGTGGAAAGTTTATGTTTAAGCAGCTTTTTGTCCCCCCAGGTGCGTGGTGTATGAGGGCGCCGGGCATGCGAGTCAGACGAGCGCTTACGCCCAGCACTACCAGTGCTGGGTTTTGGCCTCCACCGGCACCGCACCACGCGCAGTTCCCGCCCCGCCGACGCCGGCTCCGTTGCGCATGTGGGGGGCCATCACGGGACCGTGCACGCTGGACGGCACGTGCGTGGAGAGCCCCAACTACCCGCAGAATTACGGCACAGATGAGGGGTGCACCTTCGAGATCAACTTTGGGGCTGCAGCGCCGATCGTGGTGGAGAGCTTCAGCACGGAGTCGTATTTCGACACGCTCACGGTCAATGGGGTGTCCTACTCTGGCTCTGTCGGCCCCAGCGGGATCACCCCGACGGCGGACATTGTCTGGTCCTCCGACTTCAGTATCGGGAACAGCGGCTGGAGGCTGTGCCAGGGTGTGGCGCCCACGCCAGCCCCACCGACGCCAGCGCCCCCTCCGACGCCAGCGCCACCTCCAACGCCCGTCCCGCCGCCGACTCCGGCGCCCTTGTGCGGAGCGAAGGGTCCTGACGACACCCCGTGGGAGGCGCGCAAAGAGCGCATCGTGGGGGGGCAGGCCGCCACGCCGTGCGAGTGGAAGTGGCAGGTCTCCCTCTCGTCCTCGTACCACTTCTGTGGCGGAACGCTCATTGCCCCGACGTGGGTTCTGACAGCTGCCCACTGTGTGGGGGGTTCTTTCTCGATCGTGCTGGGCAGCTACAGCAAGTCCACGACGGATGCGACCGAGGTAGTACTGCAGGTGCAGCAAGTGCATTCGCATCCATGGTATAGCTCCTCGAGCTATTCTTACGACTTTGCCCTGGTAGAGTTGGTCGAGGCAACACCCTTGAATGACTGCATCGACGTGGCGTGCTTGCCAAGCGAGGACGTCGTTGACGGTGAGGAGTGCTTCATCACGGGCTGGGGAACGCTCTCCTCTGGAGGGTCATCCCCTGACGCGCTGCAGGAGGCGCAGGTGAACATCGTGAGCAACTCGGACTGCGGCGCTGCCTACGGCAGCGGGATGATCACGGACGACATGTTGTGCGCCCAGGGCGTCAACAGCGCAGGGCAAGTCACCGACGCCTGCCAAGGCGACAGCGGAGGGCCGCTCGTCTGCGCCTCTGGCGGTGGTGCCTACGTCCTTCACGGGGCCACGTCCTGGGGCTCCGGGTGTGCCCAGGCGCAGTACCCCGGAGTTTGGTCTCGGGTCAGCTACGTGCGGGAGTGGATCGACGAGCTGATGGGCACGCAGGCGCCGACGCCAGCGCCTCCGCCAACTCCGGCGCCCCCTCCGACGCCCGCGCCACCGCCGACGCCAGCTCCTCTGCACATGTGGGGGGCCATCACGGGACCGTGCACGCTGGACGGCACGTGCGTGGAGAGCCCCAACTACCCGCAGAACTACGGCACAGATGAGGGGTGCACCCTAGAGATCGACTTGGGGGCTGCAGCGCCGATCGTGGTGGAGAGCTTCAACACGGAGTCCTACTTCGACACGCTCACGGTCAACGGGGTGTCTTACTCTGGCTCTGTCGGCCCCAGCGGGATCACCCCGACGGCGGACATTGTCTGGTCCTCCGACTTCAGTATCGGGAGCAGCGGCTGGAGGCTGTGCCAGGGTGTGGCGCCCACGCCAGAGCCACCAACGCCGGCACCCCCTCCGACGCCAGCGCCACCTCCAACGCCCGCCCCGCCGCCGACTCCGGCGCCCCTGTGCGGGGCAAAGGGTCCCGACGACACCCCGTGGGAGGCGCGCAAAGAGCGCATCGTGGGTGGACAGCCCGCCTCGCCGTGCGAGTGGCCTTGGCAGGTCTCCCTGAATGCCGGGTATCACTTCTGTGGAGGAACGCTCATTGCCCCGACGTGGGTTCTGACAGCTGCCCACTGTGTGGGGGGTTCTTTCTCGATCGTGCTGGGCAGCTACAGCAAGTCCACGACGGATGCGACCGAGGTAGTACTGCAGGTGCAGCAAGTGCATTCGCATCCATGGTATAGCTCCTCGAGCTATTCTTACGACTTTGCCCTGGTAGAGTTGGTCGAGGCAGCACCCTTGAATGACTGCATCGACGTGGCGTGCTTGCCAAGCGAGGACGTCGTTGACGGTGAGGAGTGCTTCATCACGGGCTGGGGAACGCTCTCCTCTGGAGGGTCATCCCCTGACGCGCTGCAGGAGGCGCAGGTGAACATCGTGAGCAACTCGGACTGCGGGCTGCTACGGCAGCGGGAATGATCACGGAGACATGTTGTGCGCCCAGGGCGTCAACAGCGCAGGGCAAGTCACCGACGCCTGCCAAGGCGACAGCGGAGGGCCGCTCGTCTGCGCCTCTGGCGGTGGTGCTTACGTCCTTCACGGGGCCACGTCCTGGGGCTCCGGGTGTGCCCAGGCGCAGTACCCCGGAGTTTGGTCTCGGGTCAGCTACGTGCGGGAGTGGATCGACGAGCTGATGGGCACGCAGGCGCCGACGCCAGCGCCTCCGCCAACGCCAGCGCCCCCTCCGACGCCCGCGCCCCCCCCCCCCCCCCCACACCCCCCCACCCACCGCCGACGCCAGCTCCTCTGCACATGTGGGGGGCCATCACAGGACCGTGCACGCTGGACGGCACGTGCGTGGAGAGCCCCAACTACCCGCAGAACTACGGCACAGATGAGGGGTGCACCCTAGAGATCGACTTGGGGGCTGCAGCGCCGATCGTGGTGGAGAGCTTCAACACGGAGTCCTACTTCGACACGCTCACGGTCAACGGGGTGTCTTACTCTGGCTCTGTCGGCCCCAGCGGGATCACCCCGACGGCGGACATTGTCTGGTCCTCCGACTTCAGTATCGGGAGCAGCGGCTGGAGGCTGTGCCAGGGTGTGGCGCCCACGCCAGAGCCACCAACGCCGGCACCCCCTCCGACGCCAGCGCCACCTCCAACGCCCGCCCCGCCGCCGACTCCGGCGCCCTTGTGCGGGGCAAAGGGTCCCGACGACACCCCGTGGGAGGCGCGCAAAGAGCGCATCGTGGGTGGACAGCCCGCCTCGCCGTGCGAGTGGCCTTGGCAGGTCTCCCTGAATGCTGGGTATCACTTCTGTGGAGGAACGCTCATCGCTGAAAAGTGGGTGCTCACAGCTGCCCACTGTGTTGGGGGGTCCTTCTCTGTCGTGGCGGGTCTTCACAGCCAGTCCACGACAGATTCGGACCAGGTGGTGCTCCAGGTGCAGCGAGTGCATTCGCATCCATGGTATGACTCTTCGAGCTATTCATGGGATTTTGCCCTGGTGGAGTTGGTCGAGGCTGCTCCCTTGAATGACTGCATCGGTCCAGCGTGCTTGCCAAATGAGGCCATTGCTGCTGGTGAGGAGTGCTTCATCACTGGCTGGGGGCGCCTTTTCTCTGGAGGGTCCTCCCCTGACTTGTTGCAGGAGGCGCAGGTGAACACGCTCAGCAACTCAGAGTGTGGCGCCATCTGGGGCACTGGGTACATCACCGATGACATGCTGTGCGCGCAGGGCGTCAACAGCGCCGGAGAATTCACCGGTGGATGCAACGGAGACAGCGGAGGGCCGCTCGTCTGTGCTCCAGCCAGCAGCGGGAGCGGCGCGTACGTCCTCCACGGTGCCACGTCGTGGGGCTCCACCGAGTGTGGAGTCCAGGGGTACCCCACGGTCTACAGTCGGGTCAGCTACGTGCGCGAGTGGATCGACGAGCTGATGGGCACGCAGGCGCCGACGCCAGCGCCTCCGCCAACGCCAGCGCCCCCTCCGACGCCCGCGCCACCGCCGACGCCAGCTCCTCTGCACATGTGGGGGGCCATCACAGGACCGTGCACGCTGGACGGCACGTGCGTGGAGAGCCCCAACTACCCGCAGAACTACGGCACAGATGAGGGATGCACCCTAGAGATCGACTTGGGGGCTGCAGCGCCGATCGTGGTGGAGAGCTTCAACACGGAGTCCTACTTCGACACGCTCACGGTCAACGGGGTGTCTTACTCTGGGTCTGTCGGCCCCAGCGGGATCACCCCGACGGCGGACGTTGTCTGGTCCTCCGACTTCAGTATCGGGAGCAGCGGCTGGAGGTTGTGCCAGGGTGTGTCACCCACGCCAGCCCCACCGACGCCAGCGCCCCCTCCGACGCCAGCGCCCCCTCCAACGCCCGTCCCGCCGCCGACTCCGGCGCCCTTGTGCGGAGCGAAGGGTCCTGACGACACCCCGTGGGAAGCGCGCAAAGAGCGCATCGTGGGGGGGCAGGCCGCCACGCCGTGCGAGTGGAAGTGGCAGGTCTCCCTCTCGTCCTCGTACCACTTCTGTGGCGGAACGCTCATTGCCCCGACGTGGGTTCTGACAGCTGCCCACTGTGTGGGGGGTTCTTTCTCGATCGTGCTGGGCAGCTACAGCAAGTCCACGACGGATGCGACTGAGGTAGTACTGCAGGTGCAGCAAGTGCATTCGCATCCATGGTATAGCTCCTCGAGCTATTCTTACGACTTTGCCATGGTAGAGTTGGTCGAGGCAGCACCCTTGAATGACTGCATCGACGTGGCGTGCTTGCCAAGCGAGGACGTCGTTGACGGTGAGGAGTGCTTCATCACGGGCTGGGGAACGCTCTCCTCTGGAGGGTCATCCCCTGACGCGCTGCAGGAGGCGCAGGTGAACATCGTGAGCAACTCGGACTGCGGCGCTGCCTACGGCAGCGGGATGATCACGGATGACATGTTGTGCGCCCAGGGCGTCAACAGCGCAGGGCAAGTCACCGACGCCTGCCAAGGCGACAGCGGAGGGCCGCTCGTCTGCGCCTCTGGCGGTGGTGCCTACGTTCTTCACGGGGCCACGTCCTGGGGCTCCGGGTGTGCCCAGGCGCAGTACCCCGGAGTCTGGTCTCGGGTCAGCTACGCACGTGACTGGATCGACGAGCTGATGGGCATGACGCAGGCGCCGACGCCGGCGCCTCCGCCAACGCCAGCGCCCCCTCCGACGCCAGCGCCACCGCCGACGCCAGCTCCTCTGCACATGTGGGCGGCCATCACGGGACCGTGCACGCTGGACGGCGTCTGCGTTCAGAGCCCCAATTACCCGCAGAACTACGGAACAGATGAGGGGTGCACCTTGGAGATCGACTTTGGGGCTGCAGCGCCGATCGTGGTGGAGAGCTTCAGCACGGAGTCGTACTTCGACACGCTCACGGTCAATGGGGTGTCTTACTCTGGCTCTGTCGGCCCCAGCGGGATCACCCCGACGGCGGACATTGTCTGGTCCTCCGACTTCAGTATCGGGAACAGCGGCTGGAGGCTGTGCCAGGGCGTGGCGCCCACGCCAGCCCCACCGACGCCAGCGCCCCCTCCGACGCCAGCGCCCCCTCCGACGCCCGTCCCGCCGCCGACTCCGGCGCCCTTGTGCGGAGCGAAGGGTCCTGACGACACCCCGTGGGAAGCGCGCAAAGAGCGCATCGTGGGGGGGCAGGCCGCCACGCCGTGCGAGTGGAAGTGGCAGGTCTCCCTCTCGTCCTCGTACCACTTCTGTGGCGGAACGCTCATTGCCCCGACGTGGGTTCTGACAGCTGCCCACTGTGTGGGGGGTTCTTTCTCGATCGTGCTGGGCAGCTACAGCAAGTCCACGACCGATGCGACCGAGGTAGTACTGCAGGTGCAGCAAGTGCATTCGCATCCATGGTATAGCTCCTCAAGCTATTCTTACGACTTTGCCCTGGTAGAGTTGGTCGAGGCAGCACCCTTGAATGACTGCATCGACGTGGCGTGCTTGCCAAGCGAGGACGTCGTTGACGGTGAGGAGTGCTTCATCACGGGCTGGGGAACGCTCTCCTCTGGAGGGTCATCCCCTGACGCGCTGCAGGAGGCGCAGGTGAACATCGTGAGCAATTCGGACTGCGGCGCTGCCTACGGCAGCGGGATGATCACGGATGACATGTTGTGCGCCCAGGGCGTCAACAGCGCAGGGCAAGTCACCGACGCCTGCCAAGGCGACAGCGGAGGGCCGCTCGTCTGCGCCTCTGGCAGTGGTGCCTACGTTCTTCACGGGGCCACGTCCTGGGGCTCCGGGTGTGCCCAGGCGCAGTACCCCGGAGTCTGGTCTCGGGTCAGCTACGCACGTGACTGGATCGACGAGCTGATGGGCATGACGCAGGCGCCGACGCCGGCGCCTCCGCCAACGCCAGCGCCCCCTCCGACGCCAGCGCCACCGCCGACGCCAGCTCCTCTGCACATGTGGGCGGCCATCACGGGACCGTGCACGCTGGACGGCGTCTGCGTTCAGAGCCCCAATTACCCGCAGAACTACGGAACAGAAGAGGCGTGCACCTTGGAGATCGACTTTGGGGCTGCAGCGCCGATCGTGGTGGAGAGCTTCAGCACGGAGTCGTACTTCGACACGCTCACGGTGAACGGGGTGGCCTACTCTGGCTCCAGTAGCCCCAGCGGGATCACCCCGACGGCGGACATCTTCTGGTCCTCGGACTTCATCATCGTTCAAAGCGGCTGGAGGCTTCGAGGGAGGAATAACGATCCCGACCCCCACAATCGACGTTTGCTAAACAGCAGTGGGAGTCTACTACATGGCCCTGCCCTGCTCGATCCCCCCCTCTGGATGAGCTTACTGGAAAAAAGGGGTCCCGCTTACAGCAGAGGCCCGGTCAAACCAGCAGGCTGGCCCGTGAACGGGCGGGGGCACGATTTGGAATATTACAGCAGTGCGACCTGGATGCATGACGCGAAACGGCACGTGCGCGACTAGGAGGATGAGGACTGCTCCTCCTCTTTTATGATGATGCTGAGGATTGCTCTTCCGCCCTCCGAGGCTGTGCCCAGCCGCGGCGCCCACGCCCGCGCCCCCGCCCGCGCCCTGCTCGTCGCTCGACGGAGCTCCGCAGATGATGGGCAAACCTTCCACCACCACCACTACCATACGTAGGACGGGGGAGGAGGGAGGATGGGGAGGTCCTCCTCCTCCTGCTGCTGCTGCTCCTCCTCCTCCTCCTCCTCCTCCAGTTTCTGCCCGAGGGCCTGGGGGCGGACAGGCCGCCGCGGGCTCCCCTCGGGCGGGGACCATCGCGCTGCCCTCGGAGGCGGCGTGGCATCGGAGCCTCCGTCGCGAGCGCGCCGCGGCCAGGGCGCTGCTGCACGCGTGGCGGGGCACGCCATCCCCCCGCCAACGCGGCCACCTGGTGGCCGCCGCGGCGTTCCTGGACGGCCACCACGGCTCGGCGGCGTCGGCCCCCGCGCGCCAGGCGGGCGACGGCGGGGGCGGCATGGCGGCCGCGAGCGGCGCCACCAGCGGCCGCGGCCACGCGTGCGCGCATTGCGGGTGCCGCAATAACGAATCGTGGTGGACGTGGTGCTGCCACTGCAGGCGCCCACTGCAGCTGGTGCCTGTGGGGTCTGCTGCTGCTGCGCGGCGCTGCTGGCCGCCGCCGATCTTCCAGCAGGGATCGCAGCGGTGCCCGCGAGCCGCCCTGGCGCCAGGACGCCGTCGGCGGGCGCGGCGGGGCACCGCGCGGGCGGCCCGCCGCTTTGGTCGCGGAGGCGGCAGGCCGCCAGCGCAGCAGCAACCTGGGGGTCCGCATCGTGGATGTGGCCCAGGCCTTGGGACCCGACGCGGACCCCGATAAGGTCAAGCTGGCCCAGCTTGTCGGGGGACGAGCCAGCGGAGGCCAAGTACAGGTAGCAACTGGACGCCCTCCGCGCCCAGCGCCTGGCCAGGCCCCTCTCCGTGGCCGAGGCGGGCGTTGCCAGGGACGCTGCCGCGGCTGCCCTGGACGAGGCCCTGGCGGAGGCGGAGGAACTCATGCTGCGCGTGGGCCAGGCCACGGGGCGCGTGGCCAAGTGCGCCGCCGCCCTGGACAGCGCGCAGGCGGCGCACACGAGCGCTGTGCAGGCCCTGGCGGGCACCGCGGCCCCAACGGCGGCGCCTGGGCGCGAGGGGGATGTGCCCGAGCTTGGCGTCACGGCGATCCTCGCTGGCAAGGCTGCTTGGGCGCTGGACGACGAAGGGCTCTTCGGCCTGGGGTCACTGGAGGGCTATGAGGTCGAGGAGAGCGACCGCCAGGAGGCCCAGCGGCGCCGCGAGGAGCTGCAGACGCGGTTCGCGGCCATGGCGCAGGAGGCTTTCGGCCAGTTCAAGGCCGAAGCGGAGACGCTGGAGAAGGCGCGCCGCGAGCTGCGAGAGCGCCTCAAGACCAAGAGAAGAGGCGCACCTTGGCCCCCCTGCAGCAGGAGGCGACACCTGTAGCGGGGCAGCCAGCGGCTGAGGGAGCTGCATCACCCGCGGCTGCAGCTGCGGCCCGTGCTGCGGCGCCTCCTGCCGCCGCCGCTGCCGCTGGCGGCCAGCGGGAGGCCCCTGCCCAGGCCTCGTAGGCGGCTCCGCCTGCTGCCCCTGCCGCCGCTGCGGGGGCCCCAGGCGCGGGGGCCGCGGCGGCGGAGGTGCTGGAAGCGGGCCGCCAGCGCCTGGCTGCCGCCGCGGCCAGCAAGGCTGCGGCTGGCAAGGGGCGCGCGCCCAAGGGCGGCCGCGGCGGCGCGGCCAGCAGGGCGGCAGCGGTCCCTGTGGGCGACGACGAGGACCAGTCGAGCCTTTGACGCGGGCTCGCTACGGCGGGCCAAGGTTCCGACAGTTTTGAGGCGGCCCTCGGGTGCGGCGCCCAGCGGCGCAGGCGCGCTCGGCGGGGGCGTCTGCGTGGGCGGGGTGCAGTGCGCGGTCGTGGTCACATCGTGCGGGTCCTGGACGACACGTACTCGGCTGGGGAGTACAAGTTCATGGATGATGACCTCGAGTGCGGAGCAGGCTTCGCCTGCAAGTCGGGCGTCGTCGGCAGCTGGCCTGGGCCCACCTGGCGCTGTGAGGACAGCGACTACGACTACGGCGACGTCTTCATCTACGAAGACACCTGCGGGCTTGCCCGCCTCCGGCTCGCGAGACGGGAGGCCGCCGCTGGCCGGGCCTCTTCGTCTCGCGGCTTGCGCCCCCACGGCGCCGCCCCCAATCTCGACAGCGGGGGTGGCCAACGAAGCGGGCGCGGGCCATGCGCTTCGACCTCGGGGGCGACGCGTGGCGCGACGGCCTGTTCTGCTCTGCGTCGGGCACCGCCTGGACTGGCCTCTCTCGCTCGCGAGCTTCCTCGGCCAGAGGCGCGGGGATCGCGCGGCGTTGGCGGCGGCCGAGCCGGGGGTCGACCCGCGAGGGGCGGGGGCCACGGCGGGCGCTCCGAAAGGAACTAGCGATCCCCCCGCCCCGAAGCGGCTCTCGCCGAGGCGAGGTCGTCGGAGCCGCGCGATGAACTTGCCCTTCCACCTCGCGACCTTCGTCGGCCAGAGGTTCGCGGTGCACGGGGCGCTGCGTGCTGGGGCGGCGCTGGAGGTGCTGCTGGGGGGCGACCCTGCTGTGCGCGGGCCCCCAGCCACGGCGTGCGCGACGACTGCGACGGGTACGCATCAAGAGGCTCGCCCCCTGGTGCGACGTGGTGCTCTACGACGAGGTCCGCTCGTCGTCGGCCTCGCCGTGTCCTTCGCCCCGCGCTGCTCCCCAACCAGAGGCACATTATGCTCCTGGCGCTGTTGGCGAGCTCGGCGCTGGCATTGGCTGGTTGGCCGGGGCGCGGCCCCGCGGCGCGCGGGCCCCCCCGCTGCGGCGCGCGTGGCGGCTGCGACTGGTACGCGCCAGATGGGCCCTCTGGTGCTCCGCGGAGCTCCTCGGCGAGGGCGGCCTGCTGTCGGCCCCGCCCTGGACTGGATCCTCGGCCAGAGGCTTGGGGAGCTCGTGGCGCCGGCGGCGGCCGAGCCGAGGGTCGATCCGTGAGGGGCGGGGGCCATATCGGGCGCTCCGGAAGGGGCTCGCGAAGCCTCCGCCCCAAAGCGGCTCTCGCCGAGGCGGCGAAGTCGTCGGAGCCGCGCGATGAGATTTCCGCACCACCTCGAGAGCTCCGTCGGCCAGAGGCTCGCGCTGCACGTGGCGCTGCGTGCTGGGGCGGTGCTGGCGGCGCGGCAGGGGGGCGGCCCTGCGGCGCGCGGGCCTCCTACCTCGACCTGTGCGACGGCTTCGGCGGGCACGGGCCGAGTGAATCATCCCCTGGGGCGCCGCGGAGCTCTTCGGCGAGGTCTGCTCGGCTTCAGCCCCCGCCTGGACTGGCCCCTCCACCTCGCGCTGCTCCTCAGCCAGAGGCGCCCGCTGCACCTGGCGCCGTTGGCGGGCGCGGCGCTGGCCGTGGCTGGGAGGCCGGGGTGCAGCCCCGCGGCGCGCGGCCCCCCCGCCAGGAGGCGCGCGGGCTGGGCGGCCGCGGCGCCTGCTTCGCGGCCGCTTCGGACGCCCCCCCCCGCCCCCCACCCCGGGCGCCGGGGGGCCCCGCCCGAAGCGGGCTGGTTGACGCCAGGGCGCCAGCATGGAGGTCATGACCGTTAATGTGACGCACTGGCCTTCCTGCCCCGCGCAGCTGGCTGAGACAACATCGACGGCTCCGTCCGGGTAATCCTTCTCCAGGAGCATCACCTGGAGGAGGAGCACCAACTGGCTGCTGCTGGTCGCGCTGCTCGCCGACTGGGCTGGGCCGCAGACCTCATCTCAGCGGTGGCCACGGCGAAGGACGGCACCTCGGCAGGCGTGGCCATCCTGGTTCGTCCTCGGGTGCATCTCCAGCTGGTCGAGTTTGCTGGCGACCGCATCGCTGTCCGCTGCTCCGCCCGCCTTGGCTTCTGGATGACGTCTGTGGGTGGCCGCGGGGGTGCGCTGATGGTGTCTGCGTATCTCCGCGCCAGCCAGGGCCTCAGCGACCTCAATCTGGACCTGCTGACGAACTTGGGCTCGGTGGCGCGGGCCATGCGACGGCCCTTCGTTGTGGGATCGGACTGGAACATGACGCCCGCTGTGCTGGAGGTGGCGCAGCTGCCACCGTCCATTGGGGCGCGACTGGCATGCTCCAGCCGCGCCACCTGCGTCGCGGCCACGTCTGCGCGGGATATCGATTTCTTCTGCGTCGACCAGCTTGCGGAGGTCCAGGCCGTGCGTCGGTGCGACCGATTTGCGGTCCGCAGGTCGGTGGTGCCCCGACTGGCCATGCCCCCCCCCGGTGCCACGGTCCCCCGCCTGCGCCGCCCGAAGGCTTTCCCTGCCAAGATACTGATCGGGCCGCGGCTGCCCCCACCGGGATGGCAAGACGTGATCGCTGACTTGCGGACGGTCACGGCGGCAGCTGGCTTGGATGCCGCCTGCGGGCGCGTCCTGGACTGATGCGAGGACGAGCTGGTCCAGCACTTCGGCCTGGCAGAGGGCCGTGAGGCGGACCGCTATCGTGGCAGGAGCGAGGGGGCGCGCCTGGCCAGGGTGCAGGTCCATCGCCAGCGGAGCAGTACTGGAGCTGGCTCGCCGAGCGCGTGCGCGAGTGGCGTGTCCTCCGACAGTCGGGCAGCCACCAGCGCGCCAGGCGCGTCCAGGTGAAGCTGCTCCGCTTCGTGCCGCCCGTGGCGGGCGCGGACCCGACGCTCTGGCAGTCGTTGCGCCGCCTTGTCCGCAGGCTGGACTCCCTGGAGCAGCCCGCGGTGGGCGCGCTCCTGGAGGACCTCCAGCGGGCGGCGGGCGCCGCTGAGGGCCGCTCGGCCTACCGCTGCTACAAGGCCTGGCTGGACTGGTCTCGCGAGGCCACCGTCGGTGACGGCGTGCGGAAGGGCATCCGCTGGATCCGCGAGGCGGCGCCAAGGGCTGCCGACCGCTGGCAGCCTTCCGCGGGCCTCCAGTCGGCGCAGCTGGTGGCAGAGGCGGCGGCGCGCCCGTGGCACGTGCTGCGGGGCGAAGGTGGAGGACGTGCTGCGGTCGCCCGGCCCCGGGACCTGGGCGACCTCCCACGCCTGCCGAGCGTTGATGAGCTGCGTCAGGTCGG